TAAGTTCATGTTTGCTGTTGTCTGGGATGTGAGCGGCCCTGCAGAAGGGATCCGCAGTCATTGGTGAAAGTTTCTGAAGCCAACCGCACAGCCATTTTATAACAGGACATTTATTTTAATTTGAAATATTCTGCACTGTACAGTACTGTAATGTCCTGCAGGGAACCTGTGTGCTGTGGGTAGCATGTCCCCTGTCATTGATGTTTGGGACGTTGATATAGTCAACTGCTTGGAGCCAGTGTTCAGACTTGGACGTAGGGCGAACAAAAGGAAGGAGACCGCCAAGTATGGCCATCGTGATGCTGTGCTGGGTCTCTCCTGGAATGCCAATGTCACGTAAGTGCACATCAGACAGTAACAACATTCATTAGATCTGTAATAACATATGTGTTTTTCTGTATGGAGTCTTCTCTTGGCACGGCCTTGCTTTAAAACGTTTCTGTTTGACTGCACTTTATAAATGCAACAAATTGCTTGTTTAGAAATGTGTCAATAATAAAACTCAAATTTTTGTAATGTCTTGTCAATTTTGATACATTGAACTTCAATAGTGCTTTCCTATACATGTATGGCTTAATTTGTATAATGTTTACCAGCTACACTGCAGTTTCTCCTCCCACACATTTCTCTTGTTGCATTTGTGCACAGTGACTTATTGAAATTTAAAAATTCAATTTACAACTTAACCCATGCTGTAGACAACAGCCATGTGTCTTCGTGGCATTGCTCAGGATATTTACTGATCTCTTGCAGTCATGTGATGGCAAGTGGTTCTGCAGACCGGACGGTGCTTCTGTGGGATTTGAACTCTGGACAGATTGCTGCTACTTTATCAGCTTTTCAAGAGAAGGTGCAAACCCTTCAGTGGCATCCATTCGAAGGCCAGACTCTGCTGGTGGGCTCCTGTGACAAGTCAGTACAATGTTAATATTGAATAACAAACTGAACATTAATGTAGAAGGTTTATTTTCTTTTAAAAGATGTCAGTGAAAACTTTTTTCACAAAATTTTCTTGTGGTTTTTACTAAATTAGTGTGTTGTGCTATCCAATATAAATAAAGTTATGATATTAATGTCCTTACACAGGAAAATATTTACACTGAAACAAAGTCTTTAGGCATTTTGTCTAAAAATGGCAGTAAGGATCTAAAGTTGGCATATAAGGAAGACTGCGAGACATACTGGTCTTGTGGTTTGTGACAAAAATACACTTTCCTAGTCCTAGTGGGTCAAGTAAGACTGTGAGACAAAATACACTTTCCTAGTCCTAGTGGGTAAAAAGAGGCTGAAAATTTGAAATTTGGTTGGAAGTGTGAAGCTAAATGTGAATTTATATTTGAAAGTCTGGTCTTTGCAGATCCTTAATTCCTGTTTTAATTGAGTGTAGCATTCTTCTTTATTAAAATTTTTACCTTGGCTGAATTGCCACGGTGTTGTTGTTGCAGACTGGCTCGAGTGTTTGACTGCCGCATGGAAGATTCTCATAGGGACTGGTCAGTAAGCGGAGAGGTGGAGCATGTTCTGTGGAACCACTTCAGCCCATTTCATTTTCTTGTAAGTGTACACCATAACTCTGTCAGTGTGGTGGTGGTAGCAGCAGTGGTGTTTATAGCAGTAATAATTACAAAAATAATTGTTTTAAAATTAATTTAATAATTATGAAAATGCTCAGTTTTATAAAACTGTAATCTGAATGCAAGTGCTATCATATGAAACCCAGATTGCCATTTGGCTGCATCAGAGGTCTGAAAGTTCTCAGTAATAACAGTGGATACCAGAAGTGCTACTTGAGCAGCTTTAAAAGTTCTTTTAATATGGCTGAAAGCATCCCTATCAAGTTTTGGTGGATGTTTTCCATTAGTTAGTAACATAAATATGTTTGTTTAGGTTAACTTATGTACCATGTCCATTTTTGTGTTTGCAGGTTAGCACTAACTCTGGAAGCGTTCACTGCGTTGATTGTCGCAGTGATGCACCATTGTGGGAGCTTAATGCCCACAGTAAGGAAGTAACAGGTACAGGTATTTATTATAAAGAAAAATAAGTGTATGTAATGAGAATTTGATGATATTAACTTTTGATGAAACCAAGTATTGCTCTGAGGTACTTGAAAAGTGGTCATGAGTGTTAATTCATTGCTACCCAGATTGGCTGCCATCATGAGTATGACTTAATGCAAGATGTTATATAGTTTTTATGTTACCAATTTTAATTTTGTGTATAGAATAACTTTGTTGGTTGGTCAGTTTGTCTAGTATTGACTTAACTGCATGGGTTACTTGTAACTGTCATCATACAAAAGTAATAAAATTACAGTGTAAAATTGACCCCTTGAATAAAATAGCCAGCCATCAGTCACTTTCATTGGTACATCCGCTTCCTCCCATTACACTTACATGCACCTCCGATCTCTTGCCAAGTGATGCGGCATAATTAAATAATCGTATAACCAGCCTTATGCTATGTATGTCTTCAGGGGTGGCTTTGAGTTCCCAGTGTCCTGGGATGCTGATGACGGCAGGCGCAGATGGGAAGCTGAAGACATGGGACATTCTGGATGGAAAGCCTTCACTAGTGTACAGCCAGGAACAGAAATTGGGTGCTTTGTTGTGTCTGGAAGCCTGTCCAGATTTGCCCTTCATCGCCTGTCTTGGTGGCGAGAACAAGAACCATAATTTTACTGTAGTTGATGCCATGGATATTTTTGCGGGTGAGTTGTGCTTCATCATTCCCATTACCTTACATTACTTCAAGCAGTTTTATGTGTCACTGGAAAGTTCATTGAACACTTGAACTCAGTTTCAATGTTCACAGTCATATTGTGCAGAATTTTTATTGAGATAGATCTAGAGGGACTGTTTTTGATTGTTTCTTCTCGTAATGTGTTTTCAACTTTAACCTTAAAACATTTTACCATTTCAGTTCAGAACAGGTTTGCAGATCGGAAGCTTGTCTGCCCTGTAAAGTTGGAGGAAGCTGCCGGAGACGGCTCTTCGGAGGAAACAGCTGATGATATGATTGAATCTCTGTCACTAGAGACCACAGATGAAAACCAGCCAAGTTCCTCGAGGGTTACCATGAAAAGCTTCCAGTCACACAGCTTGAAAAAAGGAGACGCACGCGGAAAAAAGAAGCGGGCGACAAAAAAGAAATATATTTAACAAGATTTTTGGCGTCATGTTAAAGAGTTTTCCCGTGTTCTCAGTATAAGCTTACAGATATATTTGTGTAGTTACTGAAATACATTGTGGTCGAATATAAAGTAGCCTAAAATGTAAAGCAGCTGTTTATGTTTTGTACTTCATGACTTACTCCAACATCCTGTAGTCCTGACGAACTTTTGGATCCATGGACTGTGTGTGTGTGTGTGTGTGTGTGTGTGTGTATGCAAACAGTTTATTTATTAATCAGCCCAGTCCTGGAAAATGTTGATGTACTAGTTCTGTTACTGTTTTTTTATTATGTAGTCTGATGTTTGATTCTTGATGTCACTTCTGAAATTAATTGTACTTTCCCTTTGTTCCTCCTAGACAAATGCAGTGAAAGCAATCATTCCATTACCACAACTATAAACCACATGATTCTAAATTACCCAACTAACAGATGCATTTACAAATGTTTTCAAGCCTGAGGACTTGGAATGGTTATTTTCAGCAAGCATGGAATGCTATCTTAAATGTGGCAGTTGAATAATATTTGTTATCACTTTGGATTGTGATACCATGTTCTTTGCCAACTATTATAGGCCTCAGCTGTCTCAGTCTTCAGAGCAGATGTTGGTAACAGGATCATCATTCTACTAACTTAACTAACTAGATGGCTTACTGAACCCGAAGGTTCATCACCGAATTAACCAAAGTCCTCCACCGGCCCCTGTCCTGGGCCAACAAAATCCAGTCTCCTTCAACTCCTATTTCCCACAGATCTCCCATCTACGTCTAGGTTTCCCCAGCGGTGTCTTCCCCTCAGACATCCCAATCAATACCTGGTGCACAACTCTTGTCCCATCCATGTGACTCTTAGGAGAAAAGAAAAGAAAAAGACAAAAATTGTAACATCTCGAATTCTCAACTTGTTTACCTTCTGAGTTGCATGTGTCACTTATTCTTTTTCAGACAGTACCTGTTGAAACATGGACATTTGACGGAGCTTAACACTATACACATTGCACACAGGCTGATTTTAGGAACAGGAATTTCTCACATGAAACTGAAAAGAAAATCAGGTACATGCAAGGTGTTAAATGAAGTAACTGTTTGAAAGTGAGCATGTTTCATTGGAAGGATAAATTCTACACGAAACTGGAGAAAGTCAGTAAAGCTAGTTCGATATTACCAGATTTTTAGAGATATTTATTTCTTCACAACATTTTCTCCTATTACCAATTGCCATGGAATTTCCCGTCATAGGATTACAGGTTACTGTCAGGGTTTGGAATTCACGTTATGACCTATGGTAAGAGCGGTAAATTTGAATTAGTTGTCAAAATGAACGTTTCAATATTATCAGAGCAAATACACGACACATTGATAGTAATATTTCGGAGAATATATATTTTTGTCCATGTGATGCAAATGAAATGGTTACATTGGATACCTGGGTCGCTTCTCAGAATTTTTCGCCATGCATGCATCATAATGCAATGGCGGCGTGGGAGTGAAGCAGTAACGGGAAGCATATGTTTGACAGCTCTGCTTGAGCGTAGTGCTTAGGTTTAATTACTGGCTAAGCCACCAAAATTTTATCTGTTTAACATGTACGATTTTCTTTTTGTTATTCAATGTAAATGTTTATGTGCTAAGTTTGCAATTGTATTTGTCTAACCTCAAATTTTGATTTCAGGTTAATTCTTGACATCCAACTAGTCGTAGTAGTTCTTTGCTTCCCATTTTCTATAGGAGACGACTATTATGAACTATTGGGTGTCCAAAAAAATGCGAATAACAGAGAAATAAGAAAAGCTTTTAAGAAACTGGCCGTTACAATGCACCCTGACAAAAACCAGGTTTGTTTGTTTTAGGTTACAGACATGGAGACCATTCTGATTAAAAATATCGTGAACATTTTTAGAACTAAAAATCCACATTTGACATTTCACACATCCCGTAATAGGTCAGGCATGAAGATAACATAATTTGGGTGGTTCATACCATAGTCCCAAAGCAAAAATTTGGCATGGACACATTCAGCCATAAGTAGTATTTGATGTGAATGTGCCAGAATGCACAGAATAAGTACAATATTGTGATGTGCTATGTTTAGTATAGTGAATTAAAATGTGGTAGGTGTATTTCTACAATATATTAGCACTTGCATAGTGTTTTAATTATAAAATCGTTACACCGTTAATAGACATGTTTAGCAGTAATAGTAAAGTTATTTCTTTTTACAAATTTTAATTCATTGACAGATTAGGTTAGGAAGGAGAAGGTCAATAATAGATAATATCTATGGTTGTATGCGGAGGAGGATATGGTCACCACATAAAGATGTTTTGCAAACTCACAAAAGCATTTATTATTGAGTTGAAATCAAACTAGATGATACATTAAATAAAATTACTTCTAGCCTTTCCTAATATTCATGGAAATAGATGGTTGAGACTACGTTGAAGTGGGTTAAACAGTGGTGGTGTGATGTTTTTCTTTGTCTGAAAAGTAGTTGGTTTAAATCTAGTGATAAATAAGCATAAAGACATCCCACTTTTCTGCAGCCATTGGCAGTAGGTGTAAGAGCACACATTGGTCAGCAAAACAAAAGACTGTTGAACTAATTGTTGTGTAATGCTGCAGGCTGATCCAGATGCACATACCACGTTTGTGCGTCTTACAAAGGCCTATGAAGTGTTGAAAGATGCTGAGTCTCGAAAGAAATATGATCTGTATGGAGAGGAAGGTGTTGGCACTTCTGATAAGCAGAGTTATCACTCGTGGAGTTATTATCGTGACAATTTTGGTATTTATGATGATGATCCAGAGATTGTCACACTTAACAAGGCTGACTTTGGTAAGTATTGGCATGATTTTCCACCCTGTTATTGCAGGCATATTTTACATGACTCTTCCCAATTTATATTTACCTCAGGTGCAGGTTTTCTGAGCTTAATAACTAAATGACTGATGCTTGTACTTTAATTTTGTTGGAACTTTGATGCTTTGTATGCCAGTGTTACAGAAGAATGGATGAAGGAGGACGTGTTATGCAGAGGATGAAAAGTAGAGTGGTGGTGGTAGTAATAACATAGAAAGAATGAGAAAAAATACATGGTGAAAACTTCCAATTCTCTGTAAAATGTGGAAGCAGGAGACCAAAACTGATAAATTATTACTGAGTATCAGTAATGTGTAAGTTTAGAATTCCTTTTTTAAGTTGGCTTCTTGAGCTGCAACCAAACTTCTTGATTTTTGGTAGTTTGTCATCACTGATATATTATTGAGGTAACTGTGATAGTGTTTGTGCATGGGGACTGTTTAAAAACAGTTTAATATTTTGTGGTGTTTGTGTTGGATTTATGAAAACTTTACAATGCAGTGACACAGTGCGTGTCATTCTGAAACCATTATATACTCTTCTGTTGCTGGTCCTCGGGTACTGAAATTATGGTTCTGTTTTAAAGATCAGAGTGTTCTGAACTCACGTTCACTATGGTTCATCAACTTCTACTCTCCTATGTGTTCACACTGCCATGAGTTGGCACCGGCATGGCGTCGTCTGGCTCGGGAACTAGAAGGCGTGATCAGAATGGGTGCTGTTAACTGTGAAGAGGACTGGGTTCTTTGTCGCCAGGAGGGCATCACAGTCTACCCGTCTCTTTTTGTCTACCCTGCTGTAAGCTACTTTATGATGTTCTCCGACAGTAGTTGGTTAGTTACTGTAAAACATTTTACAGTAGGACAGGGAACTCACTGAAAGTAAAGGTAATATGGAAAAATTACATACACCATCTTCAAACATCAGCCTGTGTTTCTAATGTATGTAATGTACATTTATCAGCAAAGGGAGAAATGTTTTGTTGTATTTCCCAAGCAATTAAAATTTAACTCGACTTTTCTTTCCTGCCGTGTAAAAATGATTTATTCTGTTGTATGCCATGTGTCATTTTTGTCATGGCATTCCTTCATTATAATGTAAGACTTAAAAGAGTTTTGAGAACAAATTTTTGGGAAACATTGATCTACATACGCTGTGAGAAGATGATTTTGTATATTTCCTGAAGTATAGTGTACACAGACTTGCTCATTTTGTTTTTGAAGAACATTAATACTTTATATGTGTTTGCTGCATAAAGGCTTAACATGATACTGACAGTAGATCATCACTCAAAGTATTTATGAAGTATGGATCTCCTTTAGGTGTACAGTATCTTGATTCCATGCAGCTTCATAGCTGTAGCTTCGAAACAGTAGATTTATTATCAATAGTAAATGAATATCAGTAATGATGAGGTATGCAAAGAAACACAATGGAGAATATATGTGGTGCATTGAAGTATGTATTTCCGCAATTCTATGTTTCTTTACTTAATGCTGCCTGATAAGATCTTGTTCTGGAACACTTTGTGCAGTAAGTTGCCCCAGTTTATAAGCATCATGACATGAGGGCATATAGGGATCTTGGAGGAAAATCTCCATGAAATTGCTGTTTTGAGTTCATTTCCAAATGCATTTTTGTACATAATGTGTTAGTGAAAATCAAATCTAATTTTGAGTGGCAGAGCAGTTGATGCCTTTGGAGTGAGAGCAGGTGAGTCCTTGTTTCAGAGGGAGAAGTACAATGGAGAACGTAATGAGGATGATATGCAGAATTTCATACTGTCACGGCTTCAAGCAAGTGTGCTGAGGGTGGATGACAAAGTTTGGGAACAGGATCGTGGCAGTTCCACGTGGCTGCTGGTGCTGTGCCGAGCCGAGGATGACGGCTGTCTGGGTCCTGACACTAGACTCAAGCTTGCTGCCATATTGGTAATAGTTAAAATGAATGTTTGGTCTCAGGATAGCTTCATTCAACACGTGGTAGTCTGTTTTCTGTTTCGGCCCCCAGAAACTCATCATTATGTTCACAAAAGCTCACCATTAGACATCCTGACCCAGTTCAATCCATTTCACATCCTCACAACTCATTTGTCTTTGATCTGTTAGGTGGCTGTGTTCACCACTTCAAATTTTGCATTGTTGCCTATAACAGTTACGTTGTTATAAGGGACTGAAAGAAGGAAATGGATTCTTCTTGTGGTGGTCATGTTATTTTCCAAACTTTAAGAAAATGTCTTTAATATTGTTTGCGTATTTTAAGACACATCATCTGAGAATCATGGAAGGGGCTGGGCTAGTATTGCTGCTGCCTCTCCTGGCTGCTTTATAGAAGAAAACATAAGATGCTTACAGGGTGATCAAGCTGTCTGAACAAGTTAAATTATTGCTATGTAATTTAGTAGGAGTAAATCCATGGTGCTTGCCATATTTGAAAATTTCCTCTCACCAGCGATGCCACAAGGTGGCCATGCATCGCTAGATGCAGAAGCAGTTCACATTCTATTTTGTAGGATTCTGTAATTTTTAGGATGTCAGAATTCTTTTAAAATTATGCTGGTTTTGTGAAGGTAATTTTTGTTGGAAATGTTTTATGTTTTAGCATGACATTTATATTTAAAGTATTCTTATGATGATAACCCTTTTTAATTAATGTACCAACAAACTATGTTTATATTGTTAGGTAGCTATGATGGGCTGGAAATGCATCCTGATGAAGGAATACAGAATCACTGACTGCTGAGACTTTGTGAAGGAAGCCACTTGAAAATTCATGAAGGGATTTGGAAATGTGTTGTAATAATATCAACTGGTTCACTAGTGCACTTTGATATCGAATCTTCAGATTCTGTTGGTAGTTTATTGGCTTCGTGAATAATATGTTTGCTTTTCAGCTTCATGACAATGTTATGTGAACTGTGAATATAATTCAGTTTAGTAAATGAGTATATACATGTCAGAGGTTTTTGTTTATGGTAAAAAGGTTTTTGATTGGTTTTAGGAAGGTCTGGTGATGGTGGGCCAAGTAGACTGCGGCAGTAGCGAAGAACTGTGCAAGAAGTTTGGTAAAAGTACAGAATCCTGTGTAATTTACTGGGAACCTCTGGAACAGCATCCAGTTGGTGTGACACATAGAATTTTGGGAACAGATGCAAAGGAAATTGCAAAGGAAGTCCTGTCCTTTCTGCCTGAGCCATCAGCATTGGATAAAGAAGGATTTGATGTACGTACACACAAGTAGCTTATTTAAGGGGTTTAGAACAAATTTTGTCTAAAGAATTCTCATTCTAGATCTTTCATTATGGGAGTTTTAATCAGTCCTGCCACGTAACGAGAAGCTCAGTTCTCTCTAGGTGAAAAGAGTGACGACCATAACACTAAACATTATGTGTCTGTCTGAAGTTTTGGAGTCCCACAGATAAGCATACAGGTCTTCATATAAAGAGTCCATTATTGTGACCCAATTTAAGTCTGAATTGGAATGTACTGACAAAATTTAGTGAAACTTCTCAATACCAAATTTTGTGAAAGTTTTTTCAGTCATTTTCAAACTGTCACACAAAGGCGGATAGATAGACAGACAGACAATGCTAATATGTGCATTTTTGCAATTTTTATTTGTGGTGTGTCTAAGAAGTTGAATATTTAACATCCATTTTTAATCTGCTGAAGAATTGTTCCTTTCCATGAAGAAATAAATGTTGATCAATGTAGAAATGGGATATCTGGATTCCATGCTCTGAAGATATTAATATGAAATTTATTTATTTTATTTTATTTATTTTGAATATGTAGCATAAATACATGTAGAACAGCTGCTTAAGGTCTTAGTAACGTAGACTGTGGAGGTAATTTTCTTAGTAAAACTGTAGAAACAATTTTTTATAAGTGCATTGTGTGTTTCTTTTCCCAGGAGATGAGAAATGGACTAAAGATTGGTTCTCCTTATCCATGGGTAGTGTACTTCTACTTGGGTGAAACAACAGCAGATATGGAGCTAGAATTGAAGAAATTGCCTGGTCTGCTGCCAGACATGCGGCTCGGGAAGGTGCATTGTGGACGATGGGCTGAGCTGTGCAAGGACCTGCACATAGCACGTTACCCATTGTTTGCTGTCTTTAAGCTTGGTGGAGGTCATGAGATCCATCATGGGCGGGAAACAGCTCATGATATTGCCAACTTTGCGAGGGACAGCAGTGCTGCTCCCAATGTCCGAGTGTTGGCTCCACCAGAATTTCCTGATCTCTTAAGCAGTGGCCATGGTGAGACATGAATTACAAGTGTGTTGCATTTCCATGTAAAGTTGACATGATCTGGAAACTATGTCTGTACACACTCATTGTAGGCGTTTCCATGTAAAGTTGACATGATTTTGAAACTATGTCTGTACACACTCATTGTAACACACCATCATCAGAAACATTTATATTCCTCATGTTCATGCAGACTTTTTTACCAGTAGCAGCAGGACCAAGCAACCACTTGAAAATTATTGAAAGATTTTAACTGGTTTGGAAGAAATTTGCTGTGTTTAAATCTGATGCTAATTGGAATCTGAAAATAAGAATTATTTTATGTGCCATCATATTTTGCACTGTATCATGAAACAGAAAATATTTGTTTCTTTGTTTAGAAAGTGGAGCATGGTTAGTAGATTTCTATGCCCCATGGTGTCCACCTTGCCTTCGACTATTGCCAGAATTGCGGAAAGCTTCGCGGCACTTTGATTCATCAGTGAACTTTGGAACTATTGACTGCACAATTCATGCCAGTCTTTGTCGTCAGCATAACATCCGCTCCTACCCTACCACCATTCTGTACAATAACACTGAGAAGCAGCAGTTTCATGGAGATCACACAGCAACTTCACTTGTAGATTTCCTGAAAGATCTCCTGAACCCCGTAGGTATGTCTTGTCTTTGGTTATATTCCTAACTACGTAATGTGTGAACTGCGTGGGAATTGGCGGGGTGATCATAAGTGGAAGTGGTGAAAGATATACCGCTGTGGAAACTTGCATTAATAACTAGCTCAGTAATAACAACACAACTCTTAACAGAAAGGGTTGGGAGACTAGAATAGACTTTTGTGTTTATATTGTTAAATGTTCACCAAAAATTTTGGTGAATTACACAGATGTTGTGTCAAGAACTTCTAACGTGCATATCGTTTCATTTTGCTCTTGTATGCCTGAACATCATTTCATGCAGAGCTGATAAGTTGATTAATTATTTGGGTCATTATGGTTTCCAGAATAGAGAAATACATCATGCATACTCATTCTGAATGTGGATGGACCAGGATTATGCCCTAAGCAGTGTTGAATATTCAAGTTTTCCTGCTTGGTAGTTGGAACTTAAAATTTACTGAATAGTGGTTAAATTTATGCAATATAGAGAAAATGATTGTGTGTTAATAATTGCATAAAAATAAGGGTGTTTGCTATTTTAGTGTGAGAATGAGAATGTCAATTAGATTCCATATTTTCCTTGCAATAAGTGGGAGAAGAAATTTTGGGGAAAGAAACAGTGGCATCACCTCCAGAACGTTAACAAAATTCTGAATTGTTGTAGTGGTGAAGCTTACTGAACAGTCTTTCTATTCGAGTGTTGGTAAGAAATCTCCAGATGAGCTGTGGATGGTGGATTTTTTTGCACCATGGTGTGGCCCATGTCAGCAGCTAGCACCAGAATGGAGGAAACTTGCTAAGGTATGTTCCCAGTTACAGTAAAACCCTGTACAGTTGACTTTTATTATACATGGGGATTGCATTCCCGTGAATTGCTGCCTATGTTTTTGAGGAACTAGGCATTGATGTTTTTTCTCAGTGTCTGTACAAACACTGGGCTAGTGTTTTAAAATGGGCTGTGATTGCTCCTTTCTAGTACTTTCAAATTTATCATTATACACATTCTCTCATTTGAAGTCACATAGCCTTTGCAGTTGTGAAAGGGTCATCAAAGTGCCCTGTGATGCTGGAATGACCCATCACTAAAGATAGAATGTAAGTGACTGAAGAGAGGACATTCTTTTTCTTCCTCTTGCTAATAATTCCATTGCTTCTTGATGAAAATGTACCTGTTGCACAGATGGTGTCAAGCGTGGCAAACATTCACATTGGAGCAGTGGACTGTGAAGCGGAGGTCTCGCTGTGCAGGCAGCAGGGAGTGCGTTCGTATCCCACCATCAGGCTATACCCTCTGGGTGGCCAGGGCCTCTCCACCATTGCGTGAGTATTACTGCTCTTATGTGCATAACTGAAGTGGTGCTTGTTGTTTTCTTCAGTTATGAGGCTGATGTGCAACAGGAAGGTGAAACTGTTAATCAGCATGTCTGTCTACACATTTTGAGATGTCTCTATGACACGGTGCATCATAAATGACTGCACGGTTTAGTCTGGCATGTGGGCATTTGCCATGATGATGCATGTGTCTGCTGAGTCCAGCTGTGGCAGTTTTTAGCTGAACGTGGTACAGCGCTATAACTTTCTCAGTTCCCTAAACTTAAAAAGATCTCAAAAGTCAAAGAGGTCTGTTAACGTGGAAACAGTTGAAGATACTGCATTGGAGCAGCTGTTGGCAGTCTGAAAGAGAGATTCAGAGATATTCTTCTCGCTGGCAGGAACAGGGGAAGAAGTATATGCTTGCTGAAGGAGCCTTCTTTGAAGGGGTTTAATGTCACATTCCCTGTAAGTGTATATCTTAGTCTTCACAGATTTAATCTAAGTACTCTTTGATCGGGGGTTGCAGCGACATCTACGTTGATTTTTACCAGTTCCTTGTTTTTGTATAAATGTGTATTGTATCTCATTTATGTCTTGAATTTCCCTTGAACTGGACATGTATGTTTAGCATTGCATTATAATTGGTGATTTTATATTTAATCATTAATGTAACTGTGATTGCAGTATGTACAGTGGCTTTCAGAGGGATGCACACTCACTGCAACAGTGGCTGTTTGGCTTCATCCCTTCTCCCGTTGAAGAACTCACGCCTGAGAGTTTTGAACGTCGGGTGTTGAACAGTGAACAGCCCTGGCTTGTTGATTTCTATGCTCCATGGTGTGGGCATTGCGTTGTTTTTGCTCCAGAGTTCCAAATTATAGCTCAGGTACACCGTCATGTCACATTCACTTGGAAGGGCGATTACTTTGGTTTCAGTACGTACTGTAATGACCAACATGTTTTGTGATATTCCTCA